GCCGAGGTCAGACGGCTCTCGATATCCACCCAATTGGGTTGGTGATCGCCTATCGCGCATGGTCCTGAGCAGTCAGTCTGGAGGTGTAATTATGCAGCAAACATACTACTGTGTTTTAGAAGTGATTTGCCAGAAAGAAACAACAGAGTTCATACCTGCTTTCCTTTTGCGACAATGAGATTGTTAGACAAGGTTTCTTAGACGTCTTGTGCTTTGACCAGTCCTTCTGAGAACCAGGGTACAGCATCGTCCTGTGAAACACATAGTGGGTCGTACATTTCCGCTGGGGAGGGGTGAGGTTGTGCCCTCGACAGAAAAGTTTTTTGGTTGTTGACTATTCGCAGTTTTTCCCGTTTCGCATTGGCTGTATACCTCTTCCCCCACGCTCGACGGGAAATTTCTGGGTGAAAAACTGGGAAAATTGAGGAAATGGGTAAGACCGTACCGAAGACCCTCCCCTAGGTGGGGGTCGTGCCAGGATCTTTTACCGGAGGGAAGGGGTCGAACCTACACCGCCATTTCACCCATCACGATGCTGTACCCTGCTCAGAACCATAAAGGTGGCTCAATTTTCGAGGGATTCAGCAGTTGCTCTCCAATGTCGAAAGCGCTAGCGCTTCTTTAGAAGGTTAGTAAAGGCGGCTGAAATTCAGGGGATTCAGCAGTTGCTCTCTAGTGCCAAGAGCAACTGCTCTCTAGCGCTTCTTTGAAGAGCTTAGGTGAGGTAAATGACATTAAGCAGCTTGAAAAAGATGAGACACACACAAATATGGCATGTGAGAACGATAGTGCGTAGGTTTCATCCTCTAGGACCCCTACATTTTTCGGATAACTCGTTAGAAAAAAGGCGTTTGGTGGATATAAGAGCATCTTTTGTATATAATTGCACGGCTAGGACTTTGGAGAACGATATGAGAGAACCGTTAGTCATTAATAGAATGTTCCGTCTTCAACTTCGCTAGCCAAACGCCAACATCAGTGGTTTAGAGCAATGTCTGGTTACTGAAGAAGGAAGTCGGGAAGCGAAGAATTTCTTCAGACATCAATTCCTGTTGAGGGTATAGATTCAGTGAGGAAGTGGTGTTAGTTGGCAAAAGCGCCGCTCAATGGTCAAATCCCAAATCGCTCCGCCCAGGCCAAGTACATGTCTGCAATCTTGTGGATTTCTTCTCGGTGGCAAAGTGACTGCTTGTCTGGCAAGATAAACCACCGACTGATAGCGGCTGATCCCTGAAAATCACCATATAGACCACATCACATTCAGAAACCACTGCGATTGTGTATGTCGAACGCGGGGCGTATCCCAGAAAGGGACTTATCGACTGCTCCATCCTTTCCAGCCATTGTTAATATGATTAACTTTTGTAGGAATGATTGACGTTTTGGTCTGCTGATTTCGGGACTACACCTTTCAGCTCCTGGACGAACGGCGGTATGGACATTGATATATTTTTCAGCTTCCGAGTCAGCGAGGCGAGGTGATGCAGTGGCAATATTTCCCATGTGGATGGTCTGAGGTTTCAAACATGGACCTGGCTGCCTAAGCCGAGGACAGCAGCACGGCCTTCTGCGCCTCCGGTGGCGGGTAATGGTACAGATTTCTTCAAGAAGGTGAAGAAACACTGTACTGTACACTGCCTGGTCCTCACAATCATTTTAGATACCAGGTCGCATTCAGTAAGCTAGTACGATTCTGAATGGAAGTAGAGTGCTGCATCTGAAAAGGGATAGATCAATGACCAATACTCTACCCTTTTATCCTTCGAGCCAGCTATAAGTTTTGTGAGCTCTAGTTGTAGGTGAAAGTGCTCGCAGTGAATTGTTAAACCACCTACTCAGCTGGTACCCTGGCTTTTTGAAGGCACCAGCGAACATTCCGTCTTTGTTCGACAAAACATGGATTTAAGCGCTTTTTCTAGCCTACAAGGTTTCGGAAGGAAAGCTTAGCTGTGGGAGAAGAGCTTCCACAGAGAGCATATTATGGGCGCTTGCGCTTTCCGTTCCTTTTTGTAACAATGGTCGTCGCAATTGACAGAATCAAGAAGCCGGCTGCGAGATGACTAGCGCTAATGGGCAGTCGAGCAGGTGGTACAAAATGCAAATCGGAACGCTACGCACCGTAAATGAGATGGCACGGTATACGTTACACGGTCATCACATACACAATTGATAGCTTGTCAGGAAAATGCGTCGGAGACCACGGAAATGTTTTCCGGCATAACCGCAGGAACGCTAGTCCTATCCATGGTCCTTCTCCCTCTCACTTTCAACTTATTTCATCAATGTTTGTTTTCTAGCAAAGTAGAAAAGTAGAAGAACTAAACTAGTAGTAGAAGTAAACTTGTTTTTCCCCCCGATAGTAAAGCATCCGAAAAAAAAGACCAAGTTTCCAGCGTTAATGGTTCTTTTCCTGAGATGTGCCATGCGTTTCACTTCCACTCAAAATCGTAGTGACAATTCGAAATGGTTTGGGACGGCATGAACATCGAATAGTGAAGTCTTCCCGCTGTACATGCCTCCGTTTTTACCTTCTCACACTTCTGGTGCCAATCAATTACTCGGAAGGGGTAAAAGGCCTGGCTGGCCAGTGTGGGAAACGACCACGCCACAACAAATCAACTGAATCATTCTGAAGCGCAAGTGCAGAAGAAGTTTGAAAGACCGTAAAGGATTTTCGTCTGAAGGTTGGCAACTTATAGAGAATTTGATGATTTTGCTGGCCTTGCGCACAATCGCCCGAATGTTTGGCCAACCAAGTTTGTTCGTTGTGTCCTGCCTTTTTGCCTTCCATGGGACAATCGTGACTGTCTGGGGCTGCTTTCACACCCTCAGTGGAGTAGCTGCGCAGTGACTATTTAGCTTCCTAAGAGCACAATACCACGCAAGTAACCTTTCAGTTCATGGGCGGAAAATTGCCTGTGTAACACTTGTTGGATAGTTTCATGGTAGAGGGAGATAGAATAGTCGAAAATTTCTAGATCTTCTAGATCTCCGATCATCAAGCTGGACTTGCGGCGGAATGGAGACCTTATTTTGCGAAAACGCGAAAGACAGGCAAGCCTCGACCGAGACTGTCAGTCGAGGGGACTGCCCGCCATCGTGTAGCTGGAATAATGCTATCATTAGTTTCGCTTTCAAAGATGAGCTGTACGCTTACCTTCAAGGAGTCCAATCCTTGTCAGGTGAACAGGTCCGCAGCTATGGAAGTGCCCACTTTCATCACTTGATGATGCCCGAAGTGAGGGTGGTGGTAGCTACATAGAGCGGTTCCGGACTCCACCCACAGGCAAAACGCGAACGCAACTGCCGCACGACCACCCAAACGCCTAACCATAGCCTAGTTGTGTGCACCCTTACACTTTCTATTTTTTCCTACCTTTGTCTGTATAATTTCGGCGACTTACCCACAAGTTCGCTGCAGCACTTTAGCATCAAAGCGCGCTGTGGATATGAGACCTAAGCGAAATCCAGTCCTCCAATCCACCAGCCTCATTTCCGCGCACTTTCAGATGATGAAAGTTGCTCTCCTGTACAGCTGGCCACGACTCCTCAATGGGACCATGTTGCTGGTAAACGTACATCATTTCTTAGTGCAAAATTACCCTTCACTTTCACCTAACCTCTGCCGGCAGCCCAAGAACCAGCTGAACTCATGGAAGCCCTTGATGAATCACTATTTTTATGAGTACAAAAAATAACGTTCAATATCACCACAAGAAATGAATTACTTTGGTCGAAAATACATATGTAAACATAATAAATACGAAAGACTGTACAACATGACTAGAAGGGCCAGCTCAACTAAGAATTAGGGTAAACAGCAAATAAGGGCAGACGAGTGAAGGAGAACCGTATTTTCGTATGAAAAAGTGGAAAAATGTGAGTGGAGAAATGCAAGATTCGCCGTCCGACAGCCGGAGGCTATGTTTTGATGGCCTATACACGTGACTAGAGAAACTCGGTGATTACAGAGGTTATCCTCTCAGAACATGGAATGCTAACGAAGTACACAGAAATGCAAAACTGCGGATGAACTACTGTACACAAATACTGTGGCGGTAGTACTGGCCCTTGGGCCAAAAACGATTAAAGCTAGACAAAGCGAAATGGACTCGAGATCGTCTCGAGATCGAACAGACTAGAAAGACTCAGCAGAAAGGGCGCGCAAGGTTAAGGAGAGATCCCATGCTCAACCGATTCGTAGGACCTGAACAGGTAGTTCGGTGCGTACTCCCAAAGATTGCCCGTTTGCATGGCTCCGCAGGAGTGACGAGGGTGCTGTGGTCATCACAAGTTGCTGTTATATACGGTATTTCCTACGGTAGTATAGTCTACGCATAGCTGACAAAGCCGCAATCAGTCGGGGCGGTGTTAGGAGGGGGCGGATCAAGTTCGCCTCCGGCTGCCTCACTCTACCAATAGTGATCGGTTGGTGATCGGTGTGAAAAGAGAATAACAACTGATGAAAGCCCCACGGGTGGACTCGTTCCACCCTTCTCAAAACTGCCCCGATTGATTGCGAAGTTATCAGTGCAACTGCAGCTTGTGATTATCCTACAAATCGGTTGAGGGCGGAGTCTGTCAATGAGCTCAAATTCGACAGAACGCTTGCTTTGGAACGTCGTGAGGATGTAATAACTCCTGAGCGGGCTGTCCAAAGTACTTCAGGACCTATAGTTGAATTAAACATAGCTTACATTACTCGACTTGATCGGCCGAAACGACTACTCAGCAATTAAACAGCTGTTAGCTCAAGGAAACTCGAGATCAATAAGCATTGATGACTAGTGGATATGTTTGAGATATAAGGTAATACCAGCATTTGGTGGAGACAAATGAGATCAGGGTCATATGGATCGAAGGCTTGGAGACATGTATGATAGTGATAGTTTAGGTAACCATTCCGACGGAGACTTAGTATACTAGCTGATTAAGCTTTAGGTAAACACTCACGACGGCTTAGCAGATGAGTGAGAGCACTGAGATATGTCCGAATGTCCTCAATGCATTTCGAGTTTAAGAGGAGCGAGAGGAGAGGGTAGAAGGCCCGTAAATAACGATTCGAACGGCAATGTTGCCCGACGTTGTTCGCAGACCAGGAGTGCTTTGAACTCCTTACGGGTGCTGAAAGCCGATGAGCAGGACATGCATCGGAACGTTTCGGCTTGTTCTTTCGGGCGATGCCAGCGGCGATGTGAAGCCAGATTAGCTGGACAGGAAAAGATCTGGAAAAGTCGCGGTTGAGAAATGAGAACAAGAACTTATACAAACTTCAGAGCTTTTGAGGCTCTCCGAATAGAAACTATGCCGCCATAAGGCCAGGAGACTCACTCCCTAAACTGCTCTTGTATAGGGTACCGGAATCTAGAACTGGTAACTCTTTATTGTGCCCTTTTGCTTACAAAATTTGCCTGCTGGGAATACACCATCGGTGGGAATGGAAACTCCTGCATTTTGTCTAGACGGATCAGATACCTATCGGGCGACCTTCTACTGGGCTTACCAGGAGACCAAACGGACTTCGATCTTGGCGCCTTGTACCTGAAGAAGTTCGCGGCCGTGATAAAAGTTGATGCCATTGCCCTCTGATCCCTTTTTTGCTGGATCACCCACTTATTGAGCTTGTTGAACCACTATTCCTCCTGAGTTTGACTGAATACTGAAGGACTCTGCGGTAGAACAATGCAAAGTTGGGCATTGTTCGCCTGAGAGGGGGCATTTCGTACGTTTGCTGAGTCCGTTTTATTGGTATACACCTTTGAATAGCAGGAGTCCAATTTAGTGGAACTTTTGAAGCTTCGGTCCCGCCCCAAGCTGCGGTAAATGTGCGAGCAGTGAGCCACTCTTTGATCACAGGGTTCACAGGCTCTTCAGCAAGCTGTACAAGCTTTTGCTTGGCTTAGTACAACTTGGAGCCCCCCCCCCCACTAACAGCCTCAACTCAGCAAAGCCGAACTGCTTCAAACAATTGTGCAAGAAAAGGAGGAATTATCGTCCGGGAGGTTTCCAATGTGACATCCCTATTCGACAACGCGCATGATAGGCTAGAGAGAAGCGCACGAACCAGGTGCCTTTGCTGGCTGGATTAGAGCGGTTGTCAAGTGAGCGCCAACAACCTTAAAGGGTAAACAGGCAACCCTTCGATAAAGACTTCCGCTACAGGTGGCACTACACTCTGTAAACATAACCCCTACATGACGGGCCACGCGCATACTAGTCCGGACCCTCCATTGCTTTGTCTTGAAACTTCGTGGTACTTATAAACACTAGACCGTATTCGCATTCTGGACATCGATACTCTTCGTGAGCAATTCGAGGACAGCGATGTTGGGCTAGTTTGAAAACGTCGTCGTAGCGCACCTGAAGGGGTAATTGTTGAGTGGACTCTTCGTGTTTTGCCCCTCCTTACTGTTAATTGCACTTCGTCTTTAGCAATCAGGCTGAATATGCTCACCTTACACAAACAACAAACGCAATCGCCAATCACGTTTTCGATTGCTTCGATTTTCTTTCGGCTCTCTTCTGACACTTCTACGTAGGCAGCCGTTTCGTCCAGCGAATCGGCATCCTTTTGCAATTCTTCAGCAGAGGGCACAGCTGACTCGTCCTTAAAATCTTTAATAGGCAATCTATTCACAAATACTTTATGAATACAACGAGGGGTAGGGTTCGCTACGTCTCAGAATGCTAATCCATGAAAAATCTTCTTTGCGGAATGGCGCGCAACACATTTAACTTTATATCTCCCATGCAGTACCTTGCGCCCCGGCCTTAGGGTAGTTCTTTAACCGCCCAGTATGGAGGGTTTGTTGGTCGGGAGCGATTCGAGGGTTGATCGGTCATTTGCCACTACACTTCCTCCCTGCGCTACTTTGCGAAAATTTGGAATATTTTTGTATATTACCCGCTCGCTGGCTATTTTGTTTGGAAAAAAATTCGAAGAATCTTGAAAGAAAACTGTGGAAAAATGGTAAGATTTTGATAAAATTCAGGAGCTTGCTAGGTAGGACGGGGCATGGGGACTGGGGTCGTACCGGAAGGGACCTTTCCAGGGGTGTCTTACTTTGCAAATTCTTTCTCCAACCCCAGGACTTGCTCTGATTGACATATTAATCTGATTTTCACAGAATGAACAAGATGCTGAGACAAAGGCAGAGCCGAGTGAAAACTCGGGAAAATTCTTAACTAGTTCGGAATCTTAACTAGGGTGAGGGGAACATTCTGGAAAAGGAAGTTTGAGTTTGATTTGAAGCGGGATTCTGTCTGAGAAGAAGAGACTTGCAAGCTGTTTCTGCTTTTCAGCGCTTTCTACCACTTGGAAACTGTTATACCCTCAGCTGAACCATTATTCAGTATTTATTTAGCACCTCTTTCGAGACCAGTAATTCCTCATTTCCGAATCAAATAGGGGTGCTGTCACTTTCGATTGCCTTTTCAAGATTATAAGAGAGACCGACGGTCAGAACGATCCATAATCACGACAGCTATCGGATGCTAATCGAGGCGGCTTGCTGAAGCGAAGGCGTTAAGGTCAAAAGCTCAGCGGGTGACAATTAAGGCTCGATCGGGAGCTTTTTGACTACCGCTAGTGCCGACGACGGCTGACAAATAATGAGCCATAAGTGCCTTACGGTGATCTGATGAACTGCTTCCGAAAAGTGCAGCCTCCCTTGAAAGCTTATATTTCAAGATGATAGTGAGGTTAGAAAGGTGAATGGGATCGTCATAAGCTTAAAAACAACACATAAAAACAGAGGAAGTGGCAGCTGCGGCTGGAAGGGGGTTGAGAAGGAGGGTATAAAACATTGTGCTAGTTGGTTAGTTTCTTCAGTTTCTTCGCCTTGACAAGACTGGGACCCGCCCACCCTAATAAGCTCGAAGTTGTATGAGCTTCACTATGCATGACTGTATCAGCTTTACAAAAGTAGGCAGCTCTTCACAGGTGGCGTGCACATGCTTCGCTGTACCATTTCGTAGCTTTACAAAGTTTACAATGTAACTCAATTTGGTTTGTTTTCATATGTTATCTTACAGTTCTTACAGGTGAGATCTTTTACAGAATCTACTTTCAATGAAGTTGTGGGGGGGGGGGATTCAGAGAGGTCGGTAAGTTTCCGTTCCGCACGGGCCCTCAGATGGAAATCGAACAATTTGTTATATCCTTCCTCTGCGCCCATCTCCTCATTGATGGGAGCCAGCAAAATGCCCCCACCTCAACATGAGCGGCAAATGAACTGTCCTCATTCACTAATTTTTGGGCAATTGATTTTCATAGAAGCGTGTAAAAGGCCCCACATGGGACCTGATAATTTCTTTGAACACTCGCGAGGTCATGAGGGTG